AATGCAGTTCCTCATGTTGTGGTGACCCCCAATTTCATTGTTACAAATTGAACATAATTAAAGCATAGTGATTAATCACGAAAACAATATGTAATTATTTATGTGTTTTTCCGATGGTCTTAGCCGACCCCTATGAAAGGGTCGTTCGACCCCCAAAGGGGTCGCAACCCACATGTTGAGAACCGCTGCTCTAAGGCATGACAAGGGTTGAGAACACCCTCACTATAGCCACAGAGGAGCACTTTACAGCAGACCTGAGAGCACCTCGGTCTGGCTAAGGCCAGAGTCCTGCCCCCAATTCCTCTGCCCCTGCATCTGTCTCCACGGTGTCCCCAATGTGACTTTCCAGTGCCTTCTCCTATATACAATGGTTTTCCAATTTTTCCCCCAGAAAACTCTTATTAAAGAGTTTTAATAAGTAAAACTGACTCAGAAGTACAATAGATACAAGAGAGGAAAATAGGAATTTGGAGAGTCTAGAACCCTTCTGACTCCAGCCTCTGCATCTCCTCTGAAGCTCAAGTTGAAGAATGGGAACCACTGTTTACTCCGTGAACCACAGAGCTGAGCTGGACACGAGCAACCGTCCAGTGTAGCATGTTCCAAACCGTATGCCACAGACACTTAGATCCTCAAGACATTAACAGATGTCATCTGGAAAATATAATAGATGTCATATGAAAAAAAAATGATAGAGAGGTTCCATTATTAAATACCTTAGAAAACAGCACCCAGCTGCCTTACTCTTTTTAAAAAAATATATTTTATTGATTTTAGAGAGGAAGGGAGAGGGAGAAAGAGATAGAAACATCAATGATGAGAGAGAATCATTGATTGTCTGCCTCTTGCACGCCCCCCACTTGGGATTGAGCCCACAACCCAGGCATGCGCCCTTGGCCAGAATCGAACCTGGGACCCTTCTGTCCGCAGGCTGACACTCTATCCATTGAGCCAAACCAGCTAGGGCAAGTTGCCTTACTCTTGCATGTTAAAGGCTCTGAGATGCCCTGCAGTTAAAGTATATCTTTTATATTTTACATACATATATTTATTATTTAACCTAATATTTCCCAAGCTTTTTTGACCAAGGAACTGGCCAAATAAGGGAGTCTTTATAAGGAATACCTGTCATCTAAGGGACCCAGTTTAGAAATTCCAATTCCTTCTTGTGAAAGAGGAGAAAATGGGGCCCCGGGAGATGATGTAATTAACCCAATGGCATGAGGCACAGTCCGCCAATGCCTCCTGTCTCCCTGGACCCTGTTGAGCTCCCTGGACTGGACTATTTCCAACATGCTGACAGCTTCCCACCGCCGGTTGCCTATGTTTGCCCTCAGTGTCTAAGAGCTTCCTCTGGTCCCACGAACGCTTCTCCTGGGTGCAGAGAATGACGAATTGGTGCATCAGTGCTCCGGTCTCCAAGCCTCCAGTGTGGGTGAGTGCCTCAAGGACTCTCAGAGGGTCACCAGTGGCCAGGAAGCCTGGTTGCCCACCTGAGCGCCCCTCTTATTGGCTTTTCTCACTTCCCTGCCCTAACCCTACTTCCTCACCTGTGCTTTCTGGGATCAATGGGGGAACCCAGACGAAGAGTTACTCATGAAGCAAATTAGGAAAGATGGTCTAAACTTAAGATCTAGTTTAGACAATAGATGGTTTTTAAAGACAATTTTTAGAGCAGTTTAAAGGTTACAACGAAATTGAGGGGGAAGGCACAGAGATTTCCCATATACCCCTGCCCTCACACATGCACAGCCTCTCCCACTGTCGACATCTGCCCCCAGAGTGGCACATTTGTTACAACTGATAAACCCACACCGACACATCATCATCACCCAAGCCTATGGTTTGCATCAGGGTTCACTCTTGGTGTTGTACATTATATGGGTTTGGACAAATCTATAATGACATGGATCCTCCATGATAGTATCATACAGAGTAGTTTCACTGCCTTAAAAATCCTCTGTGCTAATAATCTGGTTTGTGTAAATGGTATCAGATTCAAACTTAAGATTCCAAGTTTTAAGCAGACTTAGACGTTTTCTCTTGAGACAAGCAGCTAAATTCTACTGTCAAAATCAAAAGAGATTAAGCATTTTCTTCCTTCTGACCCTAAAAAAAAAGAGAGAGGGGGAGAAATAAGTCTGTGTTAGAGATAAAACATTTCGCCTTATCTTCAGAAAGTAAGCAGGGCTTCTCCATCCTTGTGACCTCTGGTGAAAGGTCACAGACAAATAATATGTCATGTTGCTAGAATGTTCTTTGAGAAGGAAACAGAAATGCTTAAGAAAGTTGAACTCAGAAATTTCTAAACAGGCTGCACATCTGAGGTGGCTCCTGGCTGCCAATTTTTTTTTTTCAAAAACAGTGAATAAATTTGCTCAAGAAATTAGCTGTCGATAGCAGGGGTTGAAAACCTAGCCAGGGCTCTAAGTCTGGCCGGGAGCTCAAACTATTTTCCAGATACTTAGGGCTCAATAAAATCTAACACATTTTCTCAGCAACTTCTTTTCCCCTTTAATTTCAAAACCATGACATTATAAGGTAACTTTAGTGTGTGTGTTTCAAATATTAGTTGATACTAAGTTGGCAGATAAGCATTTTCTGAATATATATATATATATATATATATATATATATATATATATATAATTTATTTCAGAGAGGAAGGGAGAGGAAGAGAAAGATAGAAACATCAATTATGATAATCATTCATCGGTTGCTTCCTGCACATCCTCTACTAGGGATCAAGCCCGCCCAGGCATGTGCCCTGACCTGGAATCGAACCGTGACCTCCTGGTTCATAGGTCGACGCTCAACCACTGAGCCACACCAGCTAGGCTCTGATTATTCTTTTAATGGAAGGATTTTCAAGAGACTACACTTGATTTTGGTGAATGATATATTCCCCATATTTGAATGGTGTGTACTTCTGCACACTGAGGGAGGACACTGAAGCTTGAACTCTCATTGGAGAAGCCTACACACACACAGAAAGAGAGAGAGAGAGAGAGAGAGAGAGAGAGAGAGAGAGAGAGAGAGTTAGTTCATGGAGGTTTCAGGCAACCTAGTCTTATATAATAGGGAGGGAGAGAATCAACTAAAAGTAGAAAAAATGCAGCCCTTCCCTTTCACCTCGGAGGAGACTGACAGTGTCTAAGGCCAGTTGGACAATGGTCAGGACAAGCATTACAAATAGATGAGTAAGTTGTTAGAATCCATCTGCTCAGCTCTGAGCATTTGAAAAGCTGGCTAGGACCAGGGCTGTGTGCTTCAAAACACAACTACATCTGATCTGCGCTTCATCAAAAGTCACGGTTGCTAGAAACCCGTTCTCAGACGTATTGTGCTTGTGCCCCGTGAGGTTGGGACCTGTCACTCCTTCCTAATTGCCTCTTGATCCTCAGTTCTCGTCCCACTCATTGCCAGAAACTTCCCCTGGCGTGCGGAGTGACCTCAATCCCAGACAAATGACCAGACCGTCTGACTCTCTCCTTGCCCAGCTCTGGAATCAGATTTAGTTCTGAAAGGCGGAGAGTCCAGCTGAAGATGTTTTGCTCCATCTTCCTTGACCTCACACTGTGGAGGCCCTGATACAGGAAAATACAATCTCAACGTGACATTTCCACCTCATACCTCTAGCCAAGCCCCCTCTCCATAGACTTTCTCCTACTCCATCCACTGCTCAGAACCCCTCAGGTGCAAAGCCTGCTCTGGAGGTTACATAGGAAGTCTCCTACGAAGAATGCTTTAAGAGGGTGATGGAAAGGTCCCCTTTGCACAAAAATGACTCCCTCAGAAGGCTGTCAGAGGACCAAAAAATTTACCATTCTACTTTTTCTCTGGATTAAAACACATAAAGCAATTGTCTAGAAAGATAGGGAACATATGAAGTTGTTATCCTATATAATAAAAGGCTAATATGCAAAATGTCCCCTTGGGAGTTCGACCGGGAGACCTGGAGTTCCATCGCTTGCTATGACATGTGCTGACCACCAGGGGGTGGCGTGGAACATGGCGGGCAATCAGCAGTGATGGCGGGGCGCTGAGGAAGTGAGGGAAGGAGGAGGCGAGGAGGCAGGGAGGCAGGGAACCTGATCAACCCTGATTTCTGGCCAAGCCTAGGGACCCTAGCCATGTACAAATTTCGTGCAGCAGGCCTCTAGTCATCTATAAGCATACCGGCTAAAATGACTTTATCGGATTTGCTCTGGCCATCAGCAGGGCTAATGAAAAGGGATCATGGCCAAAAAATATTGGTTTAGAGATTTTACAAAGAAAGATGCCTGGGGTACAAGGTGTAGAGTAATCAAAATGTTTTCCCTTAGTTGAGGGATTAATGGAGAGAAGGACAGGCATTATACTATATATCCCCAAAAGAACATATAGTGCATATCCCTAAAGAGAAGACATATAACTAGAAAAAGATGATGAAAACAATGACTGTAGTTATCATTCAGTGAGAATATTTAGTGTTAGACTATGTATACATAGTGGCATACATTATTTTGTTTTCATGATCCATATACTAAGTAGGTGTTGTCATTTCCATCGTACAGATGAGCATATTGAGGTTCATAGACAATTCATCACTTAATTTATTCACACAGGACTACTAAGTGTCAGGTTGTGGGTTCAAACCTAGATTCTCCTCCAAAGGTCATAATCAATCCACTTGGCCAGACCATCTTCCTAATACTGTAATGCATTCATTGTATTACTGTTAGGGAGCACAGATGTTCTTTCTCAGAAAAAAAGAAAAGAGAGAGATGAAAAAGAATCCCACCAGATTTCAGACTAGAGGTTTGGCATAAAGCACCAGAAATGTCAGTGAATTAAATTGACAATCACTCCTTGGCTTCACACCCCACCATTTACCTAAGTCTGTGGTTCCCAAAGTATGTGTGGGTGTGGATGTGTGTTGCTCAGAGGTATTGCAAGGGATCTGTGTGTCCCTCCACACATCTAACCTTGACTGCAGACAAAATGCATCATGTACATACCAAGATACTTCTGTGATTGATAATATACCAGCTAATTTAGAAGTGTTATTGAATTCATATTCATTGTGTATTTATCATTGTACATTTTCCAACCTAGAAATAATAAAATCGTAATTAGAATCATATGGGATGAGTGCTTTTGTTATTAAAAAGGGGATTTTTCAACCCCACAACCCACAAATTCCATTCCTAGATATATACTCAACAGAAATGCATCAACGTGTTCATCAATAGACATGGTACGGGAATAGTCATAGAAACACATTCATAACTTCCCAGAAGTGGAAACAAGAGTGCAATGGGTAAAAACATTGGGTCCAGCCAGTACAAATACCATGGCCACACAGTGGAATACAATACAGCAATTAACATGAATCGGTGACAACTACACAAAACAGCAGGGTGAATTCACAATGTGATACAGAGCACGGAGCCAGAAACATAAAAAGTACCCTCTGTGTGATTCCCCTTACACAACGTTCCACAACAAGCATAACTAATCTATGCTGTTGGGAGTCAGGAGAAATGTTACGCTGAGAGATTCGGGCAGTGAGTGGAGGTTGAATGAGGGGGCTTCTGGAGAGACATGTAATGTCCAGTTTCTTGTTCATCTGGATGCTGGTTTCATGAGTGTATTCAGTTTATGAAGATTCCTTGAGCTGTCCATGTCATTTCTACATGCTTATGTTACATTTTAATAATAAAAGTTTTAAAAATGGGGGTAATGACCCCCAGCTCTGTACATAGGTTCATCCCAGACAAGTCATATGCTTAGAACTTTGCCCAACATGAATTTTTTTGCCTCCCCAATTTTGCTCAAGCCATCTCCCCAAATTCAAATCGCCCACACCTCCATCTCTGCCTACAAACACACCCTTTCCATTCTTTGATACCTAGCTCAATAGCATCACCTCCAAGGAATCCTCCTCACTTCAGAAGTGAATTTTCGCTCCTCTGAGCCCCAGAGAGTTTCATGGGTTTCTCTGATCACAACCCTGAGGTCCTCAGAGCCTTGCATAGCAGTGCTTGCCAAATGATAGGTCGTCAATAAAGGTTTTCAGGTGTTAAAATGTCCACATCTAACCTTATTGTGCAGTGATTTATGTTTGTCATACTCCCCACCCTCAAGAAGCCCACAGTGATGGGAGAAATATGTCTATTCATCTTTGCATATGTTTACTCATCTTTGTGTGTGTGTACTCATCCTTTGTATGTGTTTACTCATCTTTGTATGTGTTTACTCATCCTTTGTATTGCCCACCACACCCAGTTCATTACCAGGCACACAGCAGGTGCTCAGATAATGTTTCCGAATAAAGATCCAAGTCACCTGTAAAAAGAATTTGCTGTGAAAGAGATACCTGGATGATTCCACAGTTACAGGGCTATTTCCTACCTCTAGAAAAGAAGAGAAAGACTTCAATATGAACACTGCCCTTCCTCCAGGTGGCTGATGTTTTACTGGGTTGATGCTAGACCAACTACTCCCTTGGGGGTCCAAATATCTATAAGTGAGTTTTACAATAAAGAAAACTGAAGGCAGCTGAGATGTTTGGATCGCAGTGATGGAGAGCTCAGCCCAATTCCAAGCCCCTTGGATCAACCTTGGCATATGTTTCCACATCAGAGGAAAAGAAATCCAACAATCAAATCAACCAGGCCGCATGCAATGAAAAATGACAGAGATGGCATCAACAGATAAGCCTTCAAGTCTGCTTCAGCCCGTCTCCCAGGAAGAACAACGGCATTTCTAAAGAGTCTCCAATGCGTTCTCAACCTCTAATTCTGCCTCCTCCCTTTCCTTTTCCTTCCCTTTCCTCAACAATCTGCATACTGTCTGAAACAAATTCACTGTGAGATGATTTTTTTAAATCATTAGGGCACAATGAGTGGTGCTGAAGTGCTAAGATTCCTGAATTAATAATATTGCTGCCATCCATGATTTTAACTTTCTCTTTTCTGTAGGCAGAAGCCAAAACATTAGGAGATATTTTCCAGCATTACAGTCAAGCTGTGCATTTTTAGATTTGTGGGCAGGCTGAGTGATCTCCAGCCAGGATCTCAGCCCTCAGCCCTACATTCCAATGTCATTCTCTGACCACAGCATCATTTCTGGCCTCCCCCAGGTCATCACTTTGGAGAAAATAAAGCACATTTTCAGGATTTAATTTAAGAATAACCCAGGCAACCTAAGGCCAACTGACAAGGCCATTGGTGAAGTCAGCAGAAGGGAGAGCTGATATTGGTCAACAACTCCATCATTAAGACCTTTTATACCTGCGTCAAGAATTTCATTGAAAGTTGGGAGCCTTGGCTAGGAGGTCATGGTTTGATTCCCAGTTGGGGCACATGCCCGGGTTGCAGGCTTGATCCCCAGTGTGGGGATCAAGCAGCCAATTCATGATTCTCTCTCATCATTGATGTTCTATCTCTCTCTCCTTCTCCCTTTCTCTTTCTCCAAAAATCAATAAAAACATATAAAAAAAATAAAGTTGGGAGTTTATAGGTCCAAACAGCCTAAAGAGTCTATATCTTTTCCTTTTGATTACAATCACAAGAAAACAGATTATTCAAATTAAAATATGTATGCCAGGACTAACCTACTCAAGATTCAGGTATCAACTTGAATTTCATTTCTCATAGAAGCCTGGCCCAAGCCTAGGTCAGGTTAGCATCTCCCTTCAAAGGATTTGCCATGATTGCTATTTACTAGTCACTTGTGTAATCATACATGGAATGTCTGTCTCTCCACAGAACTATAAGTTCCGGGAGGGCTGATCGAAGCAGTCTCGTTCTTGGCTGCACCCCAGTATCACAGACTTGGTCCGCAGTACTTGACAAATACTTGTAGTTAGCCCCACTAGCTGACTCCGCAGATTGCTACAACCTGGCAATCCAGCAGCCCTCACCCTCCGTGGTTAGAAACCAGGAAAGGAATAAAAGTGTTTTTCATGAGCCCATATAAATAGTGAAGCCATGATCAAATTCTCATTCTCCGAGGCTCCAAATTGCCTCCTGTTCTCCTGTCCTAATTTATGGCATCACCATCCTCCATGTGAACCAGTTTTGAAACCTAAGAAACATCATTGGTTCTATCTGGTTTGTCAATCCCCCTACTTCTGACTAATTGATTCTACCTCTAAAACCTTTCTTCCACCTGCCTGCCCCTCTCCTACCCCTCAGCTCACCCGAGTCCAGGATCTTGCTTCCACTCTCATGGACATCTCATTGGCTTCTGACCTTTGCTCTTTCTTTTGACCAAATGTCTCTGTTTCTAGCTAGCAGGTAATTTTTGATACTTTCAGATCATGCTCTACTAGATAAAAGTACTAATAAATTCCTCATACCCTGGTGAATAAAATGTAAATCCATACCTTGACCTACTCCTTGGTCCCCAAGCTGCCTCACACCATCCTCCAATGTCCAGTTGAAATGCCACTTTATGCAGGAAGACTTTCCTAAATCCACACCCACCTGGAAAAACAACCAAATGCTTCACCACATTTGTTTGGAACTTAGTAAATATTTAATTTTATTCATTATAAAGCATCTGCTAAATTGTCCCTATTAGCCTACACTTGATCTTAGCCAAAAGGCCGAGAAGCGATGCTATATTCGTATTAGTCTAGAAATATCTTCCAACCATAATCAAGATCATACTAATTTTTGTTTATCCCAAAATGCCTAACACTATGTCTGTCTGGCACATAGTAGCTTTTTAAAAGCATTTCTTGAACTTAATTAAATTCATTCCTTCATTCATTCTTTCAAACATTCAGTCTCTGTTTACCAAGCCCAGCCCCACCTCAGGGATAATGAAGTAGAATAATTGTGTGACCTTAGGCATATAGTATATGATCAATAAATGTTAACCGCATCTTATTATTCTTATTGTCTCCCAAGGCAGTCTGTTCTATTGTTGTGCAGATATGATGACTAAAACATTCTTCCCAATTCTGAGTTCAAATATTTTCCCTATAACTCGTATTCATTGATCACAGTTTCTTTGCCTGAGGGCACTGAGAATGAAGTGACTCCAAAGCAGAGGCTCAGACACACTTAAAAAAACCTGATTCTCAGCCCCAGGCCTGGAATCAAGAAAGGAAAACTGGGGTCAACTGGGGAGAGAGAGCTGGATTTCATTAGTTCCATGGGTTTCTGAAAAGGGCTAAGGTTCTGTAAGTTGGTGTTTATTTTCTACCTTAGAAGTTGCACTCTGGGAGTCCAATATACTGCTTAAATTTCACTTACTTCCTTGAGCTGTAGGGTTTGGGTCAGCAAGGAAAATTCTGCAAAATGACTTCACCATTGGCAGTAATTTGCCCTTGGCCAAATTGACTTGCAATTACTCTAAGAGTGTCAGAAGTTTCCAGATTAGCTTAGACCCTGTGTGATGCTGAGTAGGCTCCTTGGGGTGGGTCATGTCCACTCCTTGAGTCTAGTGCAAGATGGGTCCAGCTGCCCTGAAGTGTGTGCCCTGCGACCTCATCTCCCCCAGCACCTGGTTCCACTCCTCCTACACACCATGACACTTAAGGACTTGTGTTCATTTCTCCAGGCGCACACACCTTCTTCAATGATACTCTCCTACCTGAATTATTTATTTTTTAAGAAATAGCCTTTACCGACAGGATGTTCCTTTCTTTAGGAGAGCAGGTTTCTCACCTTCTTCAGCCTGCTCTACAGCTGACTGTTATGCTCTGAGGTCGCACAAACCAAGGCATCCACACCCACACACAGTGACACTGTAGGCTTAGCTTCAGTGTCTGAAGCCAGGTCCAGAAATGCCAAGAAGAGTCTGTACCTCTCCAGTGGTTGCAATTTTCAACTCCTAAATTCAGAACTTATTTTCAACTCCTAAATTCAGAACAATCAGAATTGTCTTCAACTACAAAGAGAAACAAAACATGTAGCATTTTTGCTAAATTCATCGGATATCTACTTTGTCCCACTGCGTGACAGCAATGGCTTCCTGGTGGACTCTCTGCCTCTCCTTTTGTCTTCCATGACCTATTCTCTACCAGATCCCAAAGTGATTTTTAAAAATATGCCATATGTTACAGCCTTGCTTTAAAATGCCCCAGATCTCAATGTACTCAGGTAGAAATCATAGATTTCATAGCCCTATATACTCTGGCTTCTGATATCTCTCCACACCCTCACAAAATCCTCCCCTTTGCGTAAAACACACATGCAAATAGAACTCCTTACAAATGTTTCAAGTCTGCCTGGCTAAGGGCTCCTCATTTTTGCACCTACTCATCCCTCTACCTGGATCATTTTCCCCCAAGTTCTAAATATATGGCTCAGTCTCATATTTTTCCATCGATCCTACATTTAGCTTTCTCTGACACCCTTAGAGCCCCCTTCCTCAACCTGAAAATCCACTCTTCAATAACTCAGTTTACTTTCTTTATGCCAGCCTTTTGGACATTCCATGACTTATGTAGTTGATAGCCCCAACTCTAGGTAATGAAAAGAGAGTCTACAAATATAGACTCGCCATGCTGCATTGCTCAGTATGGCAAAAGAAAATAACAATATTAACGTCATTAAATTCTATAGTCATCATGTGAAAAAAATATATATATATATCCTCCATAACAGCCCTGGAGCCATTGCCAAGAAGAAATACTAAGAAGATGAAATATCCCCTTTGTTTAAAATTGAATTTATTTTTTAAATTTGATTTTAGAGAAGGAAGAAGGGGATAGAGAGAGAGAGAGAGAGAGAAGGAGAGAAAATATCAATGTCAGAGAGGTACATTTATCAGCTGCCTCCTGTATGCACCCCAACTAGGGATTGAACCCACAACCTAGGTATGTGCCCTAACAGGAAATCAAATCCACAACCTTCTGGTGCATGGATGATGCCCCAACCGATGAGCCACACTGGCCAAGACAATATTACCTTCTCTTTAACAATGTCTTGTTCACTTTATAAGAAGGAAATCCTTTGTAATTTCCAGAAGGTTTTTACACTCTTTCCTTCCTGAAAAATGAGCAAGACACTGCTAAAGAGCCAGCTCCAGGAAAACCAAAAATCCCTGTAAGTTCCATATCAAGGACTGTTTTAGTGTTTTGTACATTTGTTGTCTGTAGACTTGTGCTTTAATTGGTTGAGGATTTTTTTTAAAAAAAAGGGTGAATGAGGATAAAAAACTTTAGTCATTGTATTGTGAAATTTAACAAATATCAAGGGATTGAATTAATCTAATGTTCATAAATCTTGCTTACATTTGTTAGAGAAAAAAAGAAGATCCTACCCATGAAAAAACTTCTCACTGCCATTGGAAGAGCCACATTTGATGTGATTGCACTAATAGGTTGCTTCTTTAATGCCCCAAATTCCTTCTAGAACTGAATTATCAGCCTACTTCATACTCCTTAGATACTACAGGGGCAAAAAATTAATTAGAAGAGAAATTTCTGCCCTGGCTGGTGTTTCTAAATGGTTAGAACATTGGCCTGCACACCAGAAGGTTGAGGGTTCAATCCCCGGCCCTGGTCTAGTACCGTGCAGAAGGCAACCAATCAATGTGTCTCTCTCACATCGTTGTTTCTCTCTCTCTCTCTCTCTCTCTCTCTCTCTCTCTCTGTCTTTTTTCTGTCTCTCTTTCTCTCTCCCTCCCTCCCTTGAACTCTCGCTAAAAAAAAAAAAAAAAAAAAAAAAAAAAAAAAAAAAATCTTTGGGTGAGGATTAACAACAACAACAAAATAAAAAGAAGAGGAATTTCTCCTTGACCACCGTCCATTTTCATGATCCTCAGAAGACAGACACTTGACACAGGAACTTCTCTCAATGATGAATGAATAAGCCTATGGTTGATAAAGTTAGCAAGAGGCATGTCCAAGTTTCAAGGCATAGAAACTAACTACATAAATAAAAGTGGAAATAAAATAATAAAAATAGTAGTAACATTAGTCAATCTTAATATTTAGTGAGCGCTAACTCTGTGTCAGAGCGGTTCTAGGCCTGTTACATATGTTATTTCACTTAAATATTGTATCAATTGCAGGAAGATGCTGATATGACCTTGACATTTTACAGATGAGAAAACTGAGGCACAAAGACATTAACAAAACTAGCCCAAAGTCATTCAAGCAGGGAGTGGTGAGGCAGGATTTGAACCCATGAAGTTTGACTTCGACACCTTCCTTCCTGACCACTTACTGCCCCTTTCTGTGTCAGAGAGCTGTGGGAGTCAACACACCATAAACAATGGTAACAGCACCAAGTCCTCAGAGTTCCAAGGGGAATAGGTTTGCAGGCGCGGCTATGCAAGGCCTCTGTCACCTTGCTGAAATCATGAGAGGCTGAGAGGTGTGGCTGGCCCGCTCCACCCTGGGGGATTCAATCTCATAAGAAATTCTGGGGATTCTGGCAACATCTCCCCTCTCTTACACTGGGCAGATCTTCTGTATTTAACCCTGTCTGGGCTCCTTCAGTAGATTCCCCACTATCGGTTTCTTCTCTTTTATTATGCAGCCAATTATTATTTTAAATTTCAGTTCTAATCCCATTGGCCCCCATTACCCATTACCAAGTGGGTTCAAATCCCAGCTTTGCCACTTCCTATGCAGGGAAACCTGAACATGTCACTTAACCTCATGTGAGGTTATGTGCCTTCATCATCAACAGAACTAAAATAACTTTTTCACAATGGTTTTTTGAGGATCTGGTTCATAGTGACTATTCAAAAAATGGAGATCAACCGAAGGACTTGTATGTATGCATGAAAGCACAACCAATGGACACAAGACACTGGGGGAGGGGGGGGCGGGAATGAGGGGGTAGGGGAAGCTGGGGGAAGGTCAATGGGGAAAAAAAGGAGATATATGTACTACTATGTGTAATACTTTAAACAATAAAATTAAGATTAAAAATAAATGGTAGCTATGTGGCAAAATAAAGCACTTAGCATTTAAGACTTTCTGTGTGCATGACTCCTACTAACATTTCCAAGTTTGTCCCACACGAATGCCCTTCAACAAATATTCCTGTCTTTGGGGTTCTTCTTCTCTCCTTTAGACCAGCATTCCTCCATGGTAGTCCTTGGACCCTCTGCAGCAGATTCATCTATGGGCCCTTAAAATTTGATGCTTTGGCCCCATCTCTGGCCTTGCTAATCAGAACTTCTTTGAATGGATCTTGAATATCTTTGTGTTTTTTATTGATTTCAGAGAGGAAGGGAGAGGGAAAGAGTGATAGAAACAGCAATGAATGGGAGAGAATCATTGACTGGCTGCCTCCTGCACGCCCCCTACTGGGGATCAAGTCCACAACCCGGGCATATACCCTTGACCGGAATCGAACCCGGGACTCTTCAGTCCACAGTCCGATGTTCTAGCCATTGAGCCAAACTGGCTAGGGCCTATCTTTGTTTTTAACAGACTTCCAGGCAATCCTTCTAAACACCAATGACGGCGTCCCCCTGCCCTGTCTATGACAATATGTTCTCTGTGCCTGAGATT